AGTGGGAAATAAAAGTTGATTTGACACAAAAGAACTTAAAACATTTTTTTGTTGTTGTTGTTGTTAATCCTATTCTTAAATAAAAATAAATATAAAAAATACAATTAAATAATAAATAAATAAATGAATATTTTCTATATATTTTTATTTAATTTTGCTAATCATATTTTTAAATAAAATGATTCAAATAAATAAAATAAAAATAAATAAATAAATATTAAGTATTTTAATACATTTTTATATAATTTTATAAATGAATTATTTTGCCTAAACAAGATTCAATCTAAAATTTTGTTCAGTGCACATTTTAACTTTTTTGTGTCTAGGACAATGTAATACGACGCCATACAAAAATGCACATAAAGGAAGAAAAACTGCTGCGTATACATTTCTCCAGAGGAGTCACTGTCCTCAATGCCAAACCAGAGAAACGTGAATCTGGAGAGCAAGGTGACATGCAGTATTGATTAAACCACAGAAATACAGCAAGCTGGAGATAAACATTGACCTTCTCTACATCTCGACGCCATACAAAAATGCACATAAAGGAAGAAAAACTGCTGCGTATACATTTCTCCAGAGTAGTCACTGTCCTCAATGCCAAACCAGAGAAACGTGAATCTGGAGAGCAAGGTGACATGCAGTATTGATTAAACCACAGAAATACAGCAAGCTGGAGATAAACATTGACCTTCTCTACATCTCCTTGTATTACATTTGAACAAGTGACTGTGCATTTTGTGTGTCAAATTCAAATAGGAGGGATAGGGGATGTCACAATGTGATATAGCCTACATAAATGTTTAAAAATAATTATTATTGTGACATTCATCCAGGTTCTCATTTATGATTCATCTGTGTCTTGATGTCTATGTAAGGAACACGCTCTTTTTAAAACTATTTATTTATTCATTGTTTTTTGTGGAATTTGTTGTTGAAAACAATTAAATAAAATATAACATACAATAATTGTCTGAAAATTAATTGCATTTATAATAATAATAAAAAAAAGAAACCAATGAATAAGAATTTATTACCGAACGAAATAATGAAGGGAAAAGGATGCATATAAAAAATATTAAAACATCTAACATCATATGCTTTGGTCATGACAAAACCGGCAAAGTAACAGAAAGTGTAGGATATAAAAAGTAATGAATCTTACTTTTCCTCCGCCAACTGTTGTTGATACTGCTCGAACTCTTCATGTGTCATTCCCTTCGCTGCAGCTTCTGACTTTTCTCCTTCTTCTACTTTTTCTTCTCCAAGACCCCCGGTAAGATCCTTCAGCTGCCCTCCTATCATGTGTTTGAACATAAAAGCCATTGTTTTCCTGCAGAATACAGATATAAATCGCCTGCTTCTCTGGATAATATGTCAGTCGCTTGAGAAACTCTTGTTCAATAATGTGTCGTCCAACTCTTGAGAAGAAAACAAAAACGCCACAGCGAAAGTAGATGTTTTGATTTCTTCCGCTCAATTCAAGTTTCAGCACCAAATATTAATAACCTGTACAACGCGGAGCACCAAATATTAATAACCTGTACAACGCGGAGGAATTTTCTCTCTCTCTCTCGTACAACGCGGAGGAATTCATTCTCTCTCTCGTACAACGCGGAGGAATTCATTCTCTCTCTCGTACAACGCGGAGGAATTCATTCTCTCTCTCGTACAACCGCTTCTCACATGACTGAAGGTGAGGCTCAAAAACGTTGCCAGTGGTATACACTCTTTAGTGCATGCTGTAGATATTATAACCTTCATAGACATGTGGTAGGTTATTATGTATTGTAGGCTACATTCTACAAACCACCTCCACCTCACAAGATCCTACAATGCTAATTGTAGCGCATAAATATATACACACTGTGTATGTTGTGGAGACATACTTGTTTATTCTTTCATCAAATACTTTATATATTGTGTTATATATTTTTATTTTTATGTTTTAGATATTTTTTACAATACGTTGCCATGATGAAGTAATTTTTTCATGCACAGATTACACAGTACCAAAATGTATTACTTCCAACCAAATCTTTAGATTTTAACTATTAGAAGACATTTGTGAACAGATGTCACTTCTCTCTTGTGTGGAGCAAATCACAAGACTGCTCAAGTGAAACACCTCAGTCTATGTCAGCTAATTGTATTACATACAGTGTTAGGCTCTGTGATTTATACTTCTTTGCTAATAAGAGTCTGTGTAGTCTTACAGCTGTGGGAAAATTCATAATAAATATGTATTAATATAAACAATGTATACAAATATATGCTAACTGATAGCCTACTTTAAGCTAAATTGTGGCTACATTGGGTTAATCAATCACATACAATAGTCTATTTTCCTTGCCTGACTGCTTTAAAATGAATGAAATATATATTAAATATAATTATTTAAGGATGTTGGAGGTGAATATATGACAATAATAATAATAATAATAATAATAATAATAAATGTATATTTGTATGTTTTTATTTTCATTTTATATATGAATATCTAATATATGAATAAAATTAATTGAAATAATATATTATGTTTGTTGTACATTCGTATAATATAATATAATATAATATAATATAATATAATAATTGTTGCTTTGTGACCAACAATATAAATAATCTGCACAAATTTGGACTTTTCTTACCCAAGTAAGTTCCTTTAGCTTATGTAAATATTAATTTATTGTTATCTAAATTTTGAATTGTTGATTTACAAATTGCATTTCTGAGAACATGAATAATAATGATAATAATAACTTATATGTAATTATATTTCAAATTTTTAATAATATATGAATATAAAGAAAAATTTAAAATATAATGACTGTGTACAAATATTTGTTTTGACCTATTACCACGCTAAATAAAATAACAATATTAATGTATTACACATCATTATATTATTTTATTTTATATTATATATGAAATATATTCATTTTATACATATATATTCTGCTTTGTGACCAACAATATGCCCCAAGCAAGTTCTTTAAGCTTTTCTAAATATTCATTTTTCATTGTTATCTATAAATTGTTTAGATAAACGGACAAATCTGAAAACATGAATAAAACATGTTTAAATGTCCTCTTTGGATGATATGATGACCTTTCCCAAATTTGGGGGGACCTTTCCCATTTGGGGGGATTTTAACAATTAAATTTGCTGTGAACATTCATCTTGCTGAATCCAACTGCTTTCAGATTGAAATCTCTGATAACATGAGAGTTTATTCAGAGACGCCACACTGAATCCATTATCATATATGTTTTAAACATGACCAGCTGCAATCTGATTTGTCCTCATTTGTCCAGTGAAGAACAAGAGACTATATTGATTTGCATTTAGCATCTACACAAACAGCAAAGACACTTTCCCAAACCTTCTACAGCACTTGTCTGTGAGGGTCAGTGATTCTTCAAACAAATGCCAGGGCATTGAGAAGGTTTGTTTCCTGCCTGAAGCAGTGCCCTATACCGAGTCCCGGCACAAAGACACTTCTCCGTTCAGCAGGACTTTGAATCACTGAAGGGTATTCAAGTACCCTTCATAAGGCACATTTCTTGCCAAAATGCAAACAGCAGAGAGATGCCTTTTGCATGAGAGGAGACTGTCATAAACGTAAGCATCTCGAGGACTCCACTTCTAGTGTTGATTGGGATTCACAGTGGCATTCCAGCTCCCTTAGGCTGGGCGTGGGTGAAGGCCGGATCCGGGCCTGAGCCCAAATGTCATGGGAAAGATGTAAATGGGGGCTGACGAGCACTGCGGACGCTTCCGAACCTACAGCTGGAGGAACTTTTTAGAGAATCAAACTTAGCATGTCACTTATGTTGCTCTCTTCAGGCAAATGCATGAAGACTGCACATCACGGAGATAAAGACTGAAGAAACATGCGAATCATTGCTGCTATTGACTGCTTGGTAGGGATGGTTTGAAGCCATGAATGTTCGCTGTTATCATTTCGGTTTTTCCCTCATAACGTGAGGTCAGAATCATTTCCTTTAAACGAAGTGGTTGAAGAAATCGCATCATATGACCCCTTTAAACTCTTCTTACTGTCCCTTGGCAATGTCTTCCGAATAGGCCACGATACAGAGCAAATCGTGACACATGCATGGTGACATCCACAGTCAAGCGTTCTGGCGTAAAGCACACAGGACACCCGAGGGGGAAGCTGAAGTCCCGTCTCCCTGACTTACCTCATTCTTCCTTGTTGAACAGGGAAGCTTGTGTGCTTGAAGCTTGAATGAGAATTTCAGGGACCTCGTATTTTTAGGGGAGGAACTACAGGTGCGTTTCCCTTTTCCTTTCAAATAAAAAGAAAATAGAAAATGAAACCAACATTATGCTAAATAAAAATCAAATTAAGCATTGTCTTATTATAAGATGCAATGAGTTCCAGTAGCTTAATTGAAGAGCATATTAATCTACCAAATGCATTCATGCAAATCTGATTAAGTTAAGCAATTTCAACTTTTTTTATAGAAGTTACATGAAATTCAACTTAAAGGGGTCATATGATGCCCATTTTCCACAAGTTTATATGATTCTTTGGGGTCTTAATGAAAAGTCTGTAACACAGCTCTTTTCAGATCAAGCCGTTTTTTGTAGCTTTTTCCTTTAAATGTTAATGAGCTCTGCTGACCCCGCCCCTCTCTTTCAGCGGCTCTCAGAGAGACCGTTTACTTCAGCCGCATTCATCATGAAACTTGCTAATTAGCACATTATTAGGAAAGGCGATTTGCAAAGATTCATTACAAAACATACTCACTTCTTCTGTAGATTCGCGCGAACATAGATGCATTTATGTAGATCAGGGGCGCATTCCCTTCAGAAACAAACGGTGGTTTTTAGATATTTTAATAAAAATACATATTGTGCCTTTAAGTTAATGTAATTTAATGACTTTAGTCATATATATATATATATACACACACATCATTTTTCGAGTATTTTTGATGACATGCAAATATGCAATTATTTTTTTGATAAATTTGAATGTTATAAAATTAATGATCAATTAGAAACTGAAAAATCTATATATTTGATATAGAATTTTTTTTATTCGCGCGCACACACACGTGAATTGATATGTGTGTGTGTGTGTGTGTGTGACAGAATTAAAATATAATTTTTAGGAAATGGCTTTGAAGAATGCTAATTTAATATGCAAAATTTCTACACATAGCTCACCATAAGACGTGAATTCAAATATTTGTAGATTACAAATGGAAATGCAAACATTTCTCTGTGTTGGTATGTTTTTGTTCACCAAAGGTAGATTCACCTTCACTGAAAACCACAAATGCAGCATTTCAGTGGTTCAGGTTTCGTTCTAGCTGCATACTCATGAATCTTCCTCTTCTTGATATCATGTTGCTGACGAGAAACATGCACCGAGCAGAAATACAGCATCCTATAGATAGACTAGAAAACAATCCTATCACATCCTGATGGAGGAGCACGTGATGCGATTTTTCAAAACATGTGACATATGCCGAGTGCATCTGCAGGGCATCGGTATTATTATCAAGTGTGTCAAAACCTTATGGTGAAAATCTGTCTTGTGTCATGACTGTTTGGGTCGCTGCTTAACCGGCAGAAGCTTGTATAGAGGACGTCTTTCCTCTCTGGGTACATTTAGAGTTTCCTTGACTGACCTTTAAACTGAAAGACCGAGGGGTTACATTTAAAGGCACAGAGACACATTCAAAGCTTTTTTTTGGGAGCCTTATTTATTTTGTCTTCATCTGTTTTTATCAAACTGTTTAGGTGATTTTATCTGAAATATGGCAGCAAAGAATTTTTTTTGAAAAGCACTGAGGAAAAAAAAAAAAAATTCCTTGGCAAAAGTCAATGTATAATAATATCACAAATATTTCTCAGATCTGTTTTTGTGGCCTTTTTGTATAATTTATCGGTTTTATTAAATTTTTTTTGTAAAGCATTCTGGCTTCCACACAAGTCACATCTCTTTTAAAAGGCCCACAAAGTTTATATTCATCCTTTCCGGTTTTGAGGCTCAGACTGACACAGGTTTGAAAAGATGAGCAAGACAGCAGGAAATTCGAGCACTTTTAAACAATGTATTAAAAAAATCAAAAGAAACAAGCTCTGGGGCGAGACAGATTTCTGGTGTAAAGGCACTGTGAAATGGAAGAAAGATTCTCTGGTGTATTTCATTGGCTACTGGAACGGAAAACAGTTTGGGTTGAGCATACGGTCTCCCTAAGTGCCAATTATTGTTCTTGGTTACAAGCCTTATGGATGCTGAATGTTTTGTCGTATAGCATTCCTCATGATATTTATTGTCTGATGATATTAACTGATTTTTCTCTTTTTTTTGGCAGAATATCCTATTTGCTAATCAAAAGTCCAAAATAATGGAGCGTATGAGGACATATCAGAGGAGGCTGAAGATCTTATAAATCAAAAAGAGGTGAGTTGTTGTAGAGAAGGCCAGCCTCCCCAAAATTAAGAAAATCAAGCCATGAAAACAAAGCAAAGAAAACGACGGGGAAAAAAAGCAAAATACATTTCTACTGATGTTTTTCCAAGTCCACTGCTTTAAGAGTAGATTTTGGTCAGATTGTATGGGAATGGTGCCGTGAAGGTCATCTTCTTGTGTTTTTCCGTTAGTTTTTGTCTTTTATCGGTACAGCTCATTGGCTATGATATCTTGAAGTTTCTGTCTCAGTTCTCTGAAGCTAGGACGCTCCACAGGGTCCAGAGTCCAGCACTCCTTCATGATGTCATACACCACAGCTGGGCAGCCGTCTGGGGCGTCCATCTTGTAACCCTTCTCTACACGCGGGACAACTTCCTTCAGTGGCTGGAAGAACAGAGGATGAAGGACGCAATTTAGGAAAAATGTGCTGATGTAGACAACAGTGTCCTCTACTGGTAGAATTTGCCTTTATACTAAAATTCATGAAGCAGACATAATGTGCAGAAATCTTGCAAAACACTAAAATATACAAGTTAATATATAAATACCATTACAAAATACATGAATGTTTTTGTATTATTTTTGTATTTACACTCTAAAAAAATGCTGGGTTGTTTCATATTTCACCCAAAGTTGGGTTGAAACCAGGGTTGGGAGGGTTACTTTTAAAATGTATTCCGTTACAGTTACAAATTACTTCATTAAAAAAGTATTCAGTAATGTAATCCAAGTACCACAATATAAAAGTAAGGTAATCTGATTACTTTTGGATTACTTCAAGTTACATACAGTGGGTACGGAAAGTATTCAGACCCCCTTAAATTTTTCACTCTTAAAAAAAAAAAGCAATGTCTGGTACTTTGATTTAACTATGACTTTAAAATTAAAACTAATAAAAACTATAGTAAAAACTATTTGAAACTATTAAAAATCGTGTCTTGTTTAACCATCTAGATATTACAGGCCGTATATTTATATAAAAGGCTATGCAGACATCTAGTGGCTATACAGTTTTGTATTACAGTTTTATTTTTATTATTTTTATGTACAAGTAAAAATAAATATAGTTTATACACAACAAATTTTTTTTACACCATATACATATTAGTCTATTTTAAAATATGTCGAAATGCATGTGAAATGCTATGATCTTTCTTTATTTCATTTGATCCGGGGTGTGGGGACTCTCATGTTAATTTCTAAATTTCAATTTTAGCTAACATGATTTCCATGCTAGTCTTACCTACAAATGATCAAGTTGGTTGAGTAGCCTTTGTTAAAGCAAGAGTCTTCATGCATAGCTTACGATTTACAACTATGTTATTTCCTTTATCCTCTTTGAAAACAAAATAACTGAAATTTCCAGACATGAAAACGTTTTTCACAGCAGGAAGCATCATAATTAATTTACTGTAGCAGTGTCTCAGTCATCTCGTGAGGAGAATAATTGTAAACGGGTGTTATTTGCGCACGCACCAGCAGGCTGCTCACGTGAGTCAACGTGTCAACAGAACCAGGAACTATGCAGCGCTAAATATATAGCGTTATGTCAAAATACTTATTTATTTAATTTTAAATTAAACAAATGTAATCCTGATAGTATTCCCACTTTTTGCAAAATGTAACTGTAATCTGAATACTTTGTTTTTTGATGTAACTGTAACGGATTACAGTTACTAGATTTTTGTATCCTGATTACGTAACACCGTTACATGTATTCCGTTACTCCCCAACCCTGGTTGAAACAACCCAGCATTTTATAGAGTATACTTATTTTAGATTATTTTAATTAAAATTAGATAATTAATAGTAAAACTGTAATAGCAATAATAATAGCAAATAAATAAAAAGTAATTATAAATGATATAAAAATTTATTTTTATTGGTAATGTTTCTGCTTTGAAGTGACTTGTGTATTAATATCCTATTTTAGTTAATTTAATTGAAATTAGAATATTATTATTATTATTTAAAACAATAATTACAAATGTACTTTTTATTGTCATGCTTCTGCTTTGAGGTGTATATAATTTGGATTAAACATTTATTGATTATAATATCCTATTTATTTTCATTTAAACCAGATTTAAAAAATAATAATTTTATTTATTAACATGATTTAAAAAATAATAATAATTGTCATTATTAACAATTGTCTCAGATTTGAAGTGACTTACAATTCTTGGATAAGGTACCCGACCAAAGGAATAGATCTCCCACAGTAAGATGCCATAGCTCCATACATCTGACTTAGTGGAAAACATCTGTTCCAGATAGACAGGTAGACATAAAAAGATAAGAGGATGTTTTTAAAATGTCTCTGTTTGAACATATTAAAACAAAAGCGGACAGCACACCTTCTCCCTTAAGGCCTCAGGTGAAGTCCACTTAACAGGGAGTTTGGCTGTATCTTGAGTAGATGATGCTTCCTTGGTGAGGCCAAAGTCGCTGACTTTTGCTTTGTTGTCTTCTGACACCAAAACATTACGAGCTGCCAGATCCCTGTGCACGAAGTTATTGGCCTCAAGATATTCCATTGCCTTGCAGACATCCCTGAAAAAAAGAAAAGAAAACATGAACATAGCCTTTTCTTTTCTTTTTTATGGCTTTATTAATATTATAACTACTAATAAGACAAAGCAGGATGGGTGCCAAGGTTTTAAAAAATATAAAAGATGTGATAAAAGAAACTCACATTGAGAAATTGATCAAACAATCTCCACCAATAACAGTACGTCCTCTGGAGCGCAGATAGTCCACTAGACTACCCTGAAAACAGACATTAAAATAATGCTTTATATGCCTTAAAGACATGATTAAATGTTTACATCCATGTACACATAATTCTCTGTGAAAACAGGCTTTGGTCACTGACCTTGGCCATATATTCAGTGACAATGAAGAGGCTGCCCTTCTCTTCCACGATCACCCCCAGCAGCTGTACCAAGTTAGTATGCCGTAATTGCCTGTAACAGTCAACATGAATATTGATATTTGAATATAAAAATATTAAAAGCCTTATTATTTTTTTATTCTCTGGAATATTTGATTGTGACGGTCAATCGGGGAGGACGTACGTCATGACAGAAGCCTCTGCAACGAAGGCCTGTGCTGTTGCGTCATGTTTGATACACTTCACTGCTACTTTCTTGCCTCTGTAGTCTCCGACCATCACATCTAAGAACCAAAAAGAGCATATTTTTGAGCACAGATGAATTATTGGCTGCCTGTGTAGTTCATGATGCTATTAATATATTTGTGTTCATTTTCATAAGCTAAACAATGTAAAATCTGTTTTTTCTAGATCAGCGGTGGCGAACTCCGGTCCTGGAGAGCCGCAGCCCTGCAGAGTACAGCTCCAACCCTAATTAAAACTCACCTGCCTGCAGCTTCCTAATAACCCTTCAGACCTTGATTAGCTTGTTCAGGTGTGTTTGATTAGGGTTGAAGCAAAACTCTGCAGGGCTGCGGCTCTCCAGGACCGACGTTCGCCACCCCTGATCTAGATGATATTTCTTAACAGAAAAAATAATCTGTACCTCCAAACTCTCCCTTTCCAATAGTTTGGATAAGCTTCAGTTCTTTTCTATTCAGAGCCCAGCCACCTGTGGACAAGGAAGATTAATGATCCTATTAAAATATCTTTCATTAAACAAACCTTGAAGCCATGCAGAAACTTAATTCACTATAGATCAACAAATTCAAATGCGAGTATAGTCAGTAAGTATCTTACTCCTCGAGAACTCATCCTGGGCCGCCACAGACCCCTCCATGAGTTTAGGTTTGGTAAGTTTGGTACAAAGTCCATCTGCATCTTTAGTGTAGTGCTGTTAAAATGCGCACACACACAAAAAAAGTTAAGATAATTTACAAAAAAAGTACCATGAAAGTATAATGGTAAACTGTTAATGTTAATACCATGCTACATTAAATTCAAACAAATGAACATTTGACTAAATTATGCAAATCAAGATGCAAATAAATGCACTTTATATATAACTGTAAAAAGTAAAATGAAGCTTGAACGTGCTATTTAAATGGACAATAACTCATGAAATATAATGTGTCATTAGCTTTTTTAAAACGTTTTAAGAATGGGCACATCCAAAGCAGTAAACAGTGATGGCCAGCAGAGGTCGCTGTTGTATACGCATGTTCTCTTGATTCCGCCGCATGCGTTGCGTTTCCTCTCCTCAGATGAACACGTCCACACAGGCGACTACATTCTTATCATTTCAGTGCTGAAATACGCGTTTGTGATACTATATGTCTGGACGCTATAACCGCGAGGCCAGACCATGAGATAATATTGTTATATGAATGAAACGGCATCGATTGGGCTGTTGAAATGATCTGGAACCTGCGCTCGTTTCCTCTTTGTCACTTCCTCCTTATCAACTGTTCCAGGAACTGTGGAGCTTACGTGTGTACGCGCGCTCAAAATAACAACACATTTGCATGACTACACTCCAACAAACGCTGCAGAAGGCGAATTTTTGGACGCATTGATAATTTCCCTGACCAAATATTACTTTAGTTTCTAAAGTTACTAACCCTCATTAATTAAAATTAATATTGAAAAAACATTTTTTAAATCTTTTTATTAGTACACAATGTCATGATCCAAAGTTTGGGGTCGGTAAGATTTTTTTAATGTTTCTAATGAAATACTGTATGTCTTGTATGCTCAGCAAGGCTGCATTTATTCGACCAAAAATAAAACAGTAATATTGTGAAATTTGAAAATTTCAGCATCATTACTCAAGTCTTCAGCGTCACATGATCCTTTAGAAATAGTTCTAGTATGCCGATTTACTGCTCAAGAAACATCTTTTTAATATTGTCAATGTTGAAAACTGTTGTTCTGCTTAATATTTATGTGGAAACATTGATGCATGTTTTTTTCAGGATTTTCTGATGAATAGATAGAATTTTACTTGAAATAACTTTGTAACTATAAATATCTTTACTGTCACTTTTGATAAATTCAGTGTGTCCTTGCTGAATAAAAGTAATTTAATACAAAAAAAAGGTTAAATTTAACTTGCCATAATGAGCCATTACAGACAACAGTATCAATTTGTGGCTTTTATTTGGAATATCTCTCCACTGGTTTTCTGATTAATTTTATCGAGTGGATTGTGGGAAGAATATCATCTGCGGTAGTTTAATCACTATGAACATAAAGGCTTATTGTACACTGTTTAAGACCCGTCCACTTCTTTGGAAAGAGCACAACTGTTCAGCTGAGGCTATAAGGGTGGGAGAAAGAGAGAGAGGGCGACTGTAGCCAAAATTACACTAAAGAATGTGTGGAATTCCGTAATAGAAAGGGTGAGGAGAGACTTGAGGAACCCATAGTGGCTCTGACCTAAAGTCACCCAGACCTCAATCGAAAATAACCAGAGCAGAACCATCAACACTTAACCGAGGACGAATCGCTGGTTAATCACACAGACCTAATGAGGCCAATGGTCAGTGGAATAAAAAAATATATATGTAAAATTATACAAATGAGTCATTTATAGCCTACATCTATGTAAATCGGTTCTTTTTAACCCTCCCTTTTCATTAGCGGTGCATTCATCTTGCCTTGTGCTACAGACTTGAATGTCACCTGGAATGATGAGGTGTGCAATGCCCAGAGTATGAAGGATGGACTCTTCAGATATGTGCCACTAAGCAACCACCCAGAACACCCAATGATCTGCACAGCAACATGCCAAAACCACTCAGAACACCTTAGCAACCACATAGCAACACTCTGGCACCCAATAAAAAGCTTGTACGTTGGCTGCCAAAGTGGATTTGCACATGAAAATTTAAGTGGTGTTTGCTTGCCTAAGGAAATTTGAATATCTCTTTATTATGTTATGAAGGGGTTTTCAAACTTTCTCATGTCAAGGACCCCTAAATATGACAATCCTCTTATGATGGTCCGCTTCCTAAAATACAAAAGACAGTTACTGTATATATTCTGAAGTATAAAAACCCCATTGATACGGTGTGAGATGACAGCAAAATTGCACAAATAATTGCTTACAAAATTAAAGAATCAACTTTTATGTTATTATACTAAAGCAAATGAAAAATTACTAAAATATAGTGCGGTTAAAATAAAATTTAAAACGCTTGCTGTTTGGATCAATGTATAAAAAGCACTATACCAAAAACTAAAATTGGTATAATATAAAATTATAATACTACCTATATATAGTAATTATTAAATATATATTACTACAGAAAATGAAAAGTAATTTTTATATATGCTAAAAATTACTATATAGAGTTGTTTTTAGTATACATAAAAATGACATATTAGTTATTATTCTTATTAGTATATTATATTATACTAAATACTAACTTTTGATAGCCTTACAAATAAAAACTAAATATGACTTACAAAGCAAAATGAAGCATTAGTAATGCTGTTATTTAGTAATATATATACACGTACATACTGTATATAATTAATAGAAATTACCATTTCATTTTGCTTTCTCTAAAGTATGTTGTAAACCGTTTCATGTAAATAATAATAATTGCTGTTAATAGTGTTCATCGTCTGTTTGATTACGTCTTTAATTGATTTTTCCGTACATTTCTGCCATATGTACATAAACTGACAGTCACCACTGATAAGCTACTACTAAATATTGTAGAAACTTAATTTTCTGTAAAGTTGCTTTGCAACGATTTGTATCGTGAAAAGCGCTATACAAATAAACTTGAACTGAATTGAATTAAATACAATGGTAAATGAATAGTAATCAATCAATGTATTTCCCTGGTATGCTTAATATTCCAAAGTATCATGGTGTTACATCTGATGCATCACTGTGCCATAATATTGCTTTGGTAAACTTTTATGTAAGGGATGTTCTGTGAGTTAGTGACATTTGACTAGAAAAAACCTTCATTCCCGACACCACCCACAAAACACACTTTCCATTAAAACATCAGCTTCATTTCACAGCTCTTGTTTAGCAATGTCATTTCCTCCAGCAAGCCTGGACTGAACCTTTGACCTCAAAGCACAAGGTGTGCGTGTATAAAATTGTTTCCTGGAGTCCATCGTAAATGCTTGCCCCATGTCTGTAGCCAATACGTCTGATGTGGACTGACTTCCTGTTAGGGCTATTTTTGTATCTGTGTGTGGCGATCAATTTGAAAATGTTGACGGAGGCGGTGAGAGGACTCACAGGAAGAAGCCTGTTGGTTTCACAACCCGCTGGGCTAACTTTGGAGTGTGCTTGTGCTGACTAAATACTGTATTTTAACAATCATCCATAAGACCATAAATAGACCTGTTAGCTATGAAAACAACAACTTAAACTTAAACCAGGTCAAAAGCCAACAACCCTCACCTCCATGAGCTGCATGAGGTTTTCAAAGTACTCCTCCTCATCAATGGACAGTTTGCCGTTGTGGTAGATGATGCGGTAATGCTCCACCTTGCCGTCGCAGCTGACACACAGGGTGTAGTCGCCGGGGTAGTTTGTGCTCTCACGCACCAGGAAGAGGCCTGTCTCTGGGGGGTAAAGCAGCCTCTCGGCCTGCTCGCGTGTGATCTTTCCATGGAACCATCTGAGTGACCACAGATAAAGGACATGTGTTTGCTCTGTTCATCTTTTACAAGTCATATCAAAGCATACTTAGTGTTGCTATGGTCTGATGAAGAGGAGTTTTCAGTCAGTTGATGAAGTTTATAAAGTGTAAAGTGTATAAATAATATCTGTAAGCATTACACAATTCCACACTTACTAACAAATGACTCTCATGAGCTAGTTCATTTAATGAACCCAGAAGTTACTGTTTTGAATCAGTCTGTCGCTTTGATTCATTATTCAATGAAGAGGCCCAGAGATAATTTTTTTTTAATTATAACAAACTGCTTGTGATGTTTGGATAAGAGTGTTTGCTATATAAATAAATGTTAATGTGGAGTTAACATTAGCCAGTTCTTTTAATGAATAGGTCAAAAAGACTCATGAACCCACAAGGTATCATTTTGAATCGGTGTTGCGCTCTGAATCATGAATCTGACATAGATACTCTGTTAAAAACACAAATTCAGAAAATAACTTTGCTGTAATAAATGGTATTTTATGTAGAAATCTCAATAACTGCTTGTGATGTTTGGATAAGAGTGTTTGCTATATAAATAAATGTTAATGTGGAGTTAACATTAGCCAGTTCTTTTAATGAATAGGTCAAAAAGACTCATGAACCCACAAGGTATCATTTTGAATCGGTGTTGCGCTCTGAATCATGAATCTGACATAGATACTCTGTTAAAAACACAAATTCAGAAAATAACTTTGCTGTAATAAATGGTATTTTATGTAGAAATCTCAATAAATTACAAAAATCATACTGCATATATATATATAAACTACAACATCACTTACATCACTGTATCTCGCGCGCCACTGATGACGTTCCCTGACGCACTCCTAACATTGCAAATGTTTATTTTAAATTCGACTAATATTCATTCTTTATTCACAATCTCCTCATCACAGGCAGGCACAGCACTCATTTCAGCATGTGTTTGTGTTTGCTGTCTGCGTCACTCATAGCACGTGCCGATATCGTGCGCTATATCGAACATTTTTTCCTATCGTTACCGAAGAAGGTGTACCGTCGATAAATATCGATACCGTTTTATTGCCCAGGCCTAAAAGAAACGTATTTTTAATTTGAAATTGTCTAATTGCCTGTGATGTTCCTCATTTGAAATTCTGTTTGGATAAATGCTAAATGAATAAATGTAGTCTAATTCACAAATTAATGACTCTTATGAGCCGTTTCTATAAATGAAATGATGAAAAAGACTCGTGAATTTGTGAGTTAACACTTAATGCAAAAAACAACAACAACAAAAAACTGTTGCTGTAATGGTATTTTACATTTTTTAAAAATCAAATGTGTCCCAAAAATAGTATTGTTTTAACATAAAATCTATTTTACCTCAGTTGTAAATTTACCATATGAATCAAATCACTGTATTCTGATTCGCAAATGACTCTTAAGAGTCAGCTCTTTTAATGAATCAAATGAGTCATTTGATTCACAGACTCATTAAATCACAGTTTATCAATTTGAAACAGTCAAATGCTTTAAAATTATTTAATGAAGCAGTTACAGATACTCTGAATATTCAAAACAAGAGTTTTGTTGAAGTAAATACCATTTTAGGAAGAAAAACCCAATATGTCACAAATACTGTATTGCTTTTAGTATGCAGTCTGAATTGAATGATAAGAGAAAACTGTACTGTGAAATAATAATAATTATATTATTCTTAATGTGAAATTATGACAAATTGCTTGTGATGTTCCTCATTTGAAAGATGCTTCAGATCAAATTAATAAACGCAGTCCGATTCAGAATGTCTCTCATGAGCTGGTTCTTTTAATGAATCAGTCAAAAAAAACTCATGAACTTGTGTTAACACTTTGAATAACCACAAACAGTGTTGCTGTAATTTGACTTAAAAAACACTAAAATGTGTCACAAAGAATAGAATAAATTTTGTTTCATTTGTACTTAGGACCAACTATCGGGAAAATTTAGTAAGAAACACTGATTCAGATACATAATATTGTGCACAAGACTGAGAAACGGAAGCTAAATTACAGGCTTCCAAAAGGAGCGCTGGCCTTGCCTGGCCCTTCTGCGGCTTCCCTGGCATGACAAACATCCAATCTGTATCTCCCAATTACCCACACATATACATACACACCATCGAAAATAAACCAAAGCTGTGCACTTACCAAAGACTAGACAGCAAAAAAACGACCTCTACCGTCATAATATGCTAAAGACAAACACATCTAAAACTAAACCTTCCATTACATAAAAGCAGACATCCAGATCCCATACATCAGGTTTGAAGGACTCACTTGACACTGCAAGCAAAGCTTGTCTTGCCACACTAAATCAAACTGAGACATCAGCGTCATTATATCCATTGTTCCTTCTAAAAGCAGCAAGTAATTGAAGAATATCACATGCTCTCTTACAACCGAACCCTAATTGCGATGCATGTCTCTGGCCTTTGCATATCAGATGGTGAGAGATGGACATTTTCCACTGGCCTGAGTGCTGCCATTTGTGTAACACTCTGATTTCTCCTTTCTATTTTAAACAGCTGGCCGATTCAAATGAGTCCTTGGTTTGTTGTGGTGGACCGGAAAGCAGGAAGACATTTGCGTATTATTACAGATATACTGTAGTAGGTGATCTGTGATGATAGCAGTGATACATGCTAAATATAGCATGCTATTGTTTGTATGTATGAAACTCACACAAACACTCTCTCTTATCATAATTTAAGTGAAGATCAGTGAAGACAAAACTATCTTATATTTAAAAAAAAGCATGCTAATAAACTATGTACTTACGGCATGAGGCTCAGTTTACCGCCCGATTTCACTCCTTCTCTCTTTTGAACGTAGTTTGCTGGTATGGTACCCTCTCGTCCTGCTGAGTTTTTCGCTTTGTACCAGTTTGGATCCTGGAAAAGAAGCACCAGCAAACCAATTTTAAATGAACAGTTGCCCTAAAATGAAAATTTGTTCATTTATATTTAACCTTCATGTCATTCCAAACCCATATGACAATTTCTTATGTAAACCACAAAACAAGATATTTAGCAGGATGTTCAGGCTGCACTTTTCAATACAAGAAACATTTATTCCTGACTTAAATTTCAGCCTGTTGCTCACACAATGCTACTGCATGGCACATTTATGATATTTTTAAGTCATTTTGGGACCATGGCAGCCACTAGTTCCTATTCACTTTCACTGTACGGTAAAAGTAGCGTAAACATTCTGCTGAACATCCCATTTTCAATTACTTGGCAAACATTTCCTCTAAAATCTTTACAAATACTGTACTGTTCAAAAGTTTGGCGTCAGTATTCACAGAGAGAATGAATTAAAATAATCAATAATTCACAGGAAATACATTTATAATTGTAAATATTGTAAATATTTCTATTTCAAATAGATGCTGTTCTTTTGAACTTTCTATTCATCAAGGAATCCTGAAAAAAAGCATCACAGTTTCCAAAAATATTAAGCAGCACAACTGTTCTCAACATTGATAATCATAAGAATGTTTCTCAAGCGGCAAATTAGCATATTATAATAGCATATATATTTCTGAAGGATCATGTGACACTAAAGACTGGAATAATGGCTGCTGAAATTCAGTTTTGCAGCACAGGGATAAATTACATTTTAAATTATGTTCAAATTTATTTTTTAAATTGTAATAATGTGTTACAATATTACTGTTTTTACTGTATTTTTGATCAAGAATTCTTTCAAAAACATTAAAAAATCTTACTGACTACAAATCTTTAATTGGTAGTGTATAAAAATTCTAAAATTAAGTTTTATTTTTTACATTTTAAAATTAAAAGGATAATTTTGTGGGTGAGAGAGAGTATATATGACAATCTAAATACATGTCATTCTAACATTTCAGAAATTTACCTTAGTTACTCCAATTATAGTAAGGACATCCCCTTTGCACATAGGCAAGTCCTGGTCAGCCGTTCCAGGGAAGTTGTACCTGGCCACACACTCGGTGCCCGGAGGCCAGATTGTCTAGAGAGGGGAAAGGGAATATAAGGAAAAGCCCTTGATGTACAAACACAGGATGCTGTATAAATGAAATAAAGTCATAATTCACATTATATCCTAATGGCAACATTTCAAGGTTTGTGTTACCTCAAAGGTAGACATAGCTGAGGGAAATCGTCCTCTCACAGTCGACCCGTTTCAGCCGGTAACATCAGAGCTGAGCCTGAGGCGTACAGCTGCAGCCAGAACTGGCCAAAGAAAAAAATATACATTTATTCATTATCAAAAGCACTTTAAATTAAAATTGCAATACTATTTAATCAAACACTCAAAAAACATTAAAAACACTTCAATGCTAAATCCTGAAAAGTGGTTACAAGACAGACAGATACAGAAAATGAACTCAAATTTAAACAATGACTCAAAATTAGATGTACCAAGCATGTCAGCAAACACTGTTTACCAGCAAATACAGTTCAAGCACACACACTTTCAAAGGGGAAGTGGCGGCTGTAGATTTTCCGATGCCTCAGACAGGAAGAAGGGCTGAGCAGCAAGCAGGCTTGCAAAAAGCCTGTTAAATATTCAGTGTGAGCAGAGGGCATCAAGCCAGCCTTAAAACAAACACTGTACACTTGGAAAAGCCTCTACCATTAGTCTAGACTAAAGCTAAATATACTGATGAACAGTGTTGGGGTAAGACATTACAAATAACAAGAGTTACGTAATCCGATTACCTTTTTTCAAGTAACTAGTAAAGTAATGCATTACTTTTTAATTTACAAGAAAACATCTGAGTTACTTTTTAACGCCAGTTACTTTGTTTCTCATGTCTTGATTGACAGCTCTCCTGTCCGCATGTTGAGAGAAATCAGGAGTAAGTGCAGAGGCGCTGTGTGCGCTGTGTGAACATGATGTTACTGTAGTTCTAGACTAAATGTCAACATGTATTTACTCATCTCACTCGCACAAAATCAGATTCAGTATTCCTCAAAATGAATAAAAAGAGGCAAAATGCAAACTCAGGACATGACGCAAACATGTTAAATAACACATATCCTTTAAGTAGGCCTATTTAATTCCATTTTATTAAATCTTTGCTGCTGACCTTTGATGATCAACCATATTAATGAGCAAAAATGACTTTAGATAAACATAACATTTGTGATTCTTTTTTTTTTTGTTTCTGAAGGGAGAAAACTGAGGCCAAGGCAGATGAGAAAAAGTAACGCAAAAGTAATGTAATTAGTTACTTTTTATTGTAATGCATTACTTTTAAAAAGTAACTTTCCCCAACACTGCTGATGAACCTATATGACCAATAATGGGCCTCTTTTAAATACTCAGAAACTTTATATAGGATAATAATCACAAATTAGCTCACTTCTTGGAGAAAATATATTGAGTATATATATACACACACACCCACCCACACACTTTCAGGGTTTTTTGTACATCCATATTTTGGAGACTGTTGCCATTATTAATTCTTAAATATGTGAAATTAAATAAACTAAATAAAATTAATGCAGTTATACACATTTTTGTATTTTTCATGCTGGTCTATTATTGTGGTAGATTTCAGATAAATATGCCGTTCAATCAGATGTTTACATGCCAGTCTGATTCTTCTGGTCTAAGCGGCCACCAGATTAGATCTAGTGCTGTTTACTCAAAGATCTGGCTCTGTGAGACTTGGTCTCTTCATGTTAACATGAGTAGGGCTGCACGATAAATCGCATGCGATATTTAATGCGCATCTTGTCAGTAAAGCATGTTCTGTATTCAGCGGTAAATCTCGATCACATGCGTGGTTTCACATGAAGCAGCATTTACTACACAGAGCCGTTGTTCACTGACAAGCTGCGCAAAACCACGATCATATATGAACGATTTATCGTGCGGCTCTAAAATAAAGCTGTGCTGTTCCACAAATAAAAATATATTACTATGAAAAAAATTAAGCTCATACCACAGCTTGAGAACACCAGAAATCAGAAATGAGAAGTAAAAAAAAAAAAAAACTTTTCACTTTCGTGGTGATGAGCAACGTGAAGTTATTATTGCTCTCTTTCCACTATGACAAGTTTTGTAGGGAGAAGAAACTTCTGAACTGAACTTGAACTTAAACTAAAACAAATGACACATGTGAGTCTGCTAGGGGTGCTCCGATCAGGATTTTTGAGGCCAATCGCCGATCACAGAAAGCAGTATCTGCCGATACCTATCACCGATACCGATCTTTTTAAAGCCTTCTTTTTTTATCATTTATAACTATTTATAGTGATACTCCAATCAGGATTTTTAGACATTTATTCAGGGCCTGAATTTCATTTTTGAAAATGGGGGGAATTCCCCTCTTAGGTGTCTCTTGTGAGAGGAGAAGCAGCTTTCACACAGGAGTCCGCTACTGATCCGCGGCTGTTTACCACAAACACAACATTTATCCATTATTTTGATTTCAAATCCAAACATTGTAACTGAAAAGGCTTTTTCAGCATTGCAATTCTTTTTTTACACTACACAGAGCCGTTGTTCACTGACAAGCTGCGCAAAACCACGATCATATATGAACGATTTATCGTGCGGCTCTAAAATAAAGCTGTGCTGTTCCACAAATAAAAATATATTACTATGAAAAAAATTAAGCTCATACCACAGCTTGAGAACACCAGAAATCAGAAATGAGAAGTAAAAAAAAAAAAAAACTTTTCACTTTCGTGGTGATGAGCAATGTGCATCTCAAAGATATTATCCCTCTCTTTCCACTATGACAAGTTTTGTAGGGAGAAGAAACTTCTGAACTGAACTTAAA